ATGAAACGATTGCAGCCTGGGTAAATATTAAAATGAAAAGAAAGCTAAATAAATCCTGAGATGGCTGCCAGTCACTCACAATCAGGGAGGTGGGGTGGAAGTAAAAATAAGGAGTGAGGAAGTGAGCTACTGTACATGTTACTGGTAAGCCCTCTGCCTCAACTAGGTTGATTATTTTAAGCACCGTGAGATTGATTTTGAGCCCCTGTGGGAGCCTTGTGGGTCTGTGTGAGTGAAAGTGAAGGTGCACACCGACAAAAAGGGAAGGTGGAATAAAAGTTAGGACAGGGAAGATCACAAAGGAGAGTAGAGGAGAAGTGGAGAGGAGCTGTCTAGAGGTGTTCTCCAGATTCCCAAGGTTCTTAATAAGAGTCTTCAAGGACACCAGAGATGATTTGGGTCAAATTTCTCTTCTTCCTTCCAAAAATGGCCCCAGTACTAAAAATCTCTCTGTTACCCAACTTAGGCTGATTGTAGGGAGCAAAAGCCTCAGATGACAGAACATATTGAGCTGTTTGATGTTCTCAGAAAACACAAATCGTTCTAAAATCAGCGTCATGGCACCTTTCTTTTCCATATTGGGTGGAAATTCAAAGGTGTTAGCAGCTGGTGAGAAAAAAATCATTTATAGATGGAAAAGCCCCAGAAAACAGATTATTACATGTTGTCCTTGGTGATGCTGTATTTTCTGATTTCATTCATTGGAAATCTGGACTGTCCCCCCCCCCATCAAGATGTGCATCCACTCTTTATTTGTGGCTGTCTCTCTGTGTGAAGAGGACCTTGCCTTGACCATTTATTATATGACTGAGGAAGCAGGATGTTCACTGCCGCCTACGGAGCGTTCTCTGTGCACGTGTTTAGGAAAGCTATGCCGTTTAACAGCGACTCAGCCTCATTTCCTTCGTACGAAAACACAATAAATACCTTTTCTGTGGGCTCAGAACCAAATTTCCCTGCATGCCATCTGTGATCTGGCCATATTCATTTTACACCTGTTCCTCTGAGCATTGAGTTAATTATATCTCCTTGGGGTCTGGGAGCTTCATAAAACATTTCTGCTTGTGTGAATTATACTCTTCACCTTACAGCTGCCTGTGGGGGAGAGTTAAACAAGCTGATAAAATCACAAGATGCAGGAACACACGAGTTCCTTCACAGCTGAGAAGACAGATCTGATACTGTGTTTGTCTGCCATCTAGTGTTTGGATACGATCACAGCTTTACACGTCTGGGTTTGGCTGCTCGTCTTCTATTGTAGTCAGATCTATCGTCAGCGATGTAGTCGTGATTGCAACTTCATAATGCAGCAAACATGAGTTTGATGTAGATCTTCTGAAAGCATTGGCTGAAATGTTATTTGTTAAATTCCTTATCTTGACAAAGGTTTCCTATAAAGTCACTAACAACACTAAAAACAACCAACAGGTTGTACTCACACATTAGCGGAAGTTTTCAGTCGAGGATTCCTGCTTATATATATATATATTTGTCTGTCCCGTTTTGTTCTTTTGCATCAGAATTATTGTCTAAAGGCGAAGAAAGATGCCCAACGGATTTACTTTACCAAATGAACCATCCCAACCTTGCCGTAATGGTCTATTTGATTCACCTTTTATTGTTTATTTTATTTTATTTTCACTTGTTAAATACGGGACAGACTTGACTGGGGAAAAGAAAGAGGGAAAGATATAATTTTTTCCTCTGCGCTATAAAATACATTTTAAAAAGTCTTCTTGATCGCAGTGAAAGGCGTGCACTGAACGGCCCAGAATGCAACGGGGTGTTCAGTACGTTCTTTTATTTAAATTAAAATAAAATTAAAAACAATATAAACATATTTGTGAATTATGTTTTCCCTCTGGGATAGTTCAAATTCTAACCCTCCCAAAATACTCGTTAAAGCAACAAATAAACCGTGATGAAGACTCCGCGCGCCTTTTTGACCGCAGTTATACCTGGTGTGCAGCGCGTGCTAATCCGTGGGAGGAAGCTCATTGACGAGGTCACGTGCCGAGTGCTTGTCACTCTACCAATCACCTTGGGGAAGGTCTGAGAGAAGAGCCAATCGTTGCCCTTGCAGGGCATCACCTGAATGCGGGTGAGCGAGTGAACAGAAAGCGTGGGTCAATGAGAGCAGGTGTAGCAGGAGAAGCCGGTCAGCGCGGTGGATGCGTCTCTCTGGTGACTTGGAAGCGCTCGCGGCTGGCGATTGAGTGCGATGGATGAGGTGGGGCAGATCTCCACAACCTAATTCAGACTACTCTCCCCCCACGTTTTGCACAAATATTGAACCATCAAGGATCATGTGACTTGAGGGTCATTTACGTCCTCTTGATGACAGTAGACGTTTCTGGACTGTGGCACAAGCATGAGACAACATTGTGAATCATAAAAATGCAGATTTGTAGGAAATATTCAAAATATTCACATCTGTCTGTGAGAGAGGGCGATGTAAACACAAGGTTAAAAAGGAAATGCTTCTGGATTTAGACACTGAAAGCATTTGTTTCCTCATGTATGTTAATGATGAATGTTAATGTTTCTTAATACGCTTGTTTGGTCTTGCATTGGCCTGTATTCACATGCAGTTTGTGCATATGACATTGGTGAGACACAAGAAGTGCCAAAAACCTGTTTTTATGACCCCTCATGATATCAGAGTCTGCACATCGTAACGTCTGCATTCTCAAATACTGCTGACATGTGCAAGTTATCATACAAAAATAAATGCATTTTCAAATGGAACACGTGTGTCTTTACGGATGATGCACCTGTATGTAAAGTGTTTACTGTGGATCTTTGCTTTTTTGTTTAACATGTAACCACTTAACTAAACTTTCAGAAAACAACTCCTTGGTCATATTGTGTCCTACTGTCCTTGGTGCACAGCTTCAGTTTTGCCCCCAAACAAAACCAGTTCATGTTTCTGCCCCACTTTTCAGCCTTATTGGAACACGAAGTGTTGCTGCACGATCTTGAAACACAGAGCCACAGAGTTAAACCCAGAACATCATCTGGTGATGCCACGGTGATAACACATTCACAGAGTGGGTTGAACGGGAGGCAAATGAAATGATGTCTATTGAGTTGGCCTACTCCAAGATGAGTTCTGGATCCTTCTGTGTGACTGCAGTTAACCACAGAACAGCAAACCAGCCCAGCAGCATCTGCTAAATCTCAAAACATGTTTAAGATTCCCATTGTAACCTACAGGCTAACCTGTAAGTATCAAATATTTAAAATTGTTTAACGTGCTACTTGAAAGTGTGCAAACCTGTTTTTTATTTTTTATTTTTCTAAATGAAATAGTAGCTTTGTGTGCCAGTTCCACATACTATGGAAGGATTATTGCAAGTAGTCAAAAATGTAAATATTTATGTAATTAATATTGCTACTTAAGTAAGTTAACCCTGATCTTCACTAATCAGAATATGTACCGTGTATTAAACTGACACAGTAATGTCTGGAGAGAGATATGAATCAGTTTGATTGTTCTCTTCTCTCATACAAATAATAATCCGCTGGTCTCAGAAAGCAGGATGTGTGTCAGCGCAGATAATTGGTGAACTGCCCACGACCCAGTTTGCTGTAATTATCTGATGGCTGCTGTATATAACTGCGACCGTCGTGTTAAATGTAGAGCGAAAACAAAGTGACAACATCAGGTCGCAAGAATAAAGACGTTTTAATTGTCAGGCTGCACGGTGAGTGTCAGATGAATAATTTAATAAAACCGTAGTTAATGTATTTCAGGATGGATTTTATGGTTTATCATCAGAGAAATGTAAGTTTAATCAAAGTCAGAAATACATTTACTGTTGAGAGATTTAACCTTTAAGAAAAAGAAGCTGCATTTGGGGGTTTCTCAGATGTTTATAATTATACACAAAATTGCATATTTTTCATTTAAATTTTATATCTCGGTTATTATGTAAAGTTGAGTCTTGAATAAAATTAATGAAGTTTGAATTTTGAAATTTCTTCATGTGCAGTTCTTTAAAATGCCTGCAGATTTAAAGGCCTCTCTGTTGGCTGAACGTGTTTATTTACAACATTTAGTGGGAAAAATCTGAGGGCACATGGCCACCTCTATTAAGAACAGATGGGAGCATTAATGGCTTAGCTAAAGAGGCTATACCCTTTTTACCTTACTTGTAGGACACAGGCTGACCCAGCATCAGCCAGGCCAGACCAATATTAGCAGTTACACTTACAGCAGAATTCATAAGTGAAATGATCTCCACTGATGATGTAAAATGAGATTATTTCTGATTTTGTCTCCATTTGATTATTATTTGGAACTTTTATACTTTTGTTTAATTGTTTTTAACATAAAGGCAGAGGAATCTGTTTCTCTAGTTCCACATTTTATAAACGATTTGTTTGCTCATCATCATTAAGTACGAGTGAGCGTTCACTCTGCTAAATGAGGAGCTTACATGTGTTTTACTGACACAAGTTTGAGTTCACGTTTAAACTGAGTTTGAGGAATATTCTTTGACTCTTTTGCGTCTCACGACCTAAAACGTGTGGAATCAGTCACATGGATCAGTTCTGCCCTGCCGTTTGAGGGTCGGGGCTGGAGTTGCATAACTTGTTGTTTGTGGTTTGCACAGATGTTGTGGCAGCATTTTCAACCTGCAGTGATATTGACACGATTGTTGGAATAATGATGTATACTAAAGTCTACTGGGGCACTCAGGGTGGATTAAGGTTTCCATAAAAGCGGATGGGTATCCTTTATAGTTTCAGATGCTTCCAGGGGAACAGGAGGGAACCAAATTTGTCTCATCATAACAGATTCTGCAATGATCTGACACTTCTGGAGTTTCAAGATATCACTAAGGTTATATGTCACAGTTTGTTTCTCTTCAGTTTAGGTTTGCATGAAACTAAGCAAACGTTGCACTGATAGTGTTCTGATTGCATCTGTTGATTTTGTTTTCTTGCATGTATCTTTAATTGTCCGTACATTCATATGTGTTTACAGATTTAGCATGCCTCTGTTTGCATTGAAATCCTCGCTGTTGTGTGTGCTGATGGTTGGTGCGGTGTATAGCTGCATGCTGAAGAATTACACTTTATGGATTGAGAAGCAAGACTGCACCCAGTGCGTGGCCATCAACACTACCATCTGCAGTGGCTACTGTTACACGCAGGTGACAACTTCTGCACACAGTTACACTTTTCATGGAAACTCTATGATGTAAACAAACTGTATGACGGACATTATGACAATATTTGAGACATAAATGTGATGAAGGTGATGATGACATATTAAACTGTAACACATTCTGCGGATATTAATCATATAAAAATCTTAATGGCATCTTGTTCTGTCCTCATTGAATATTGTTGTCATCAGCCTTGTTTCCTCATTTCCAGGACACTAATTTGAGGGGACGATTTGGGAGAACTTTCTTGATCCAGCGCAGCTGTGTTCCTCTTTCCTTGGTGTACCGGGCTGCTCATATTCCTGGTTGTCCCAAGGATGTCAACCCACAGCTGTATTATCCCGCAGCCCACTGCTGCAGCTGTAGGCGCTGCGACACACGCACACACCGTTGCGTCCGGACCAGCCGTGTCCCTTATGATCAGTGCTTCACGACACTTGACGGTGTGAGGAACCAGAACCAGTCTGCTGTGGAAATCTCACAATATTCCAATACGAGCAGCAGCGCGCTTGCACGGAAGTGATTCAGCTATTAATGAAAACGACGTGTTTGTGTGTTGATGTTGCTGTAGTGCATCTCATGTTCTGTTCTCTAGTTTATTATGATATTGCAATAAAACAGTCTGTTGGGCATGCAATACAGTTGTGATTTTTTGTCTTAGCATGTATGACTAAAAGTGTGAAATGACAATAAATACATTGAAATAAACAAATAAAAAACAAATTAAATTAAAAAAAGGCTAATTTGGTTACTGATTTGCTTCGCTTAGGGGGTTGGGTGGCGATCATTTGGGACGTAAATGAAATGGACCATGAACAGACCCAGTACAATACCTAACAATAGCAAGAACGATGGTTCCAGGAAATGTGTTCCTGCTCTGAGCCAGCACGAACCACATCAGAGACGTCAGGATTACGCGTCTGAGAGAAACGGTTATAAATGTTGCATCATGGTCTGTTTGTCCCGCCCAGTTTTTAGAGAATCAATTTTTATTGGTTCCCAAGTCAGGCCTGAGGCGCACCTAGCTGTAGCGCGTCTCCTTCCTCTTCCTACTCATTCATTAATTTATTAACGATGACCGGTGGATATGAAGCAGCGTTAAAGTCTTTACCTTTATTTTAAGGCGTGCTGTCCCAGCTTGTTTCTGTAAGTAACCGTGATTCTTTCGAAAACAGCTCCGATGTTTTACTAGATCTTAATAAATTTAACAACCCGGGAAAAAGTTGCTGGGCGGGTTAAAAAAAACATCCAAAAAGCAAAAAACTGTAAAGCCTTTGAAATTATTCAGAGCAGATGTGGTTAACTTTTTAATCCAGATCATACGTTATTATCAGACGCTGTTTGTTTTTTAAATTTATGATTGTATGAGTGCATGTTTGCAATCAAGAGGCCTGAGACAAGGAGCTGGATTCATCTGAAGTTACACGCTGCAGATGGGTGTGTGCTTGCCTTGATTTGGATATTAGGATTGTGCTTTGATGTTGGTGCGTAACTGACCCTGATTTTAACTTGGCTGCTAATGCAGTGGGTGGAGAGTCAAATGTATCCTTGTATCTGCAGGGCCGGACGTTCCTCTATATATATCACCTTGAGATTATTTCTGCTCTTGCCTTGCTCAGTGTCTCTCAGGGACTCTCCGCCTGCTCTCCCTCTGCACTCACCAAATTCAAGAACCATGGCCCAGCAACAACAGATAAGGTATGGACCTGTGCACCACGTTAGATGAGATAATAGTAACGAGGCATGTTCTAGTTGTTTTTTTGGTCAATCTAATAGTTTTATACAATAAACACAGAATTTTCCACCTGTTTTTTGCTCTTGTGCCGATGTGTAGCACTTTATCACCGTTATATGTGAGTTTACTCTGTCAACAAGTTATTTTCTATAGCTTCTACAGAGAGATACACTAGTATGGGTCACACACCAAGAAGCATAATGAGCTGCTTTCATATTACTTCAGCTTAGTTTGAGCAGGTTTTCTCGCCTCGCCTGTCGACGCCCTTCTTTGTGTAACTGCAGAAATGGTGGGAAAAAGAATGATTGTTATGTTTTTGTCTGTTGCGACTTGCCTTTGTACAGTCTACCAGCCAAGCTGATCAATGGAGGGATTGCAGGCATGGTAGGAGTCACCTGTGTGTTCCCAATCGACTTGGCCAAGACGCGCCTGCAGAACCAGCGCAGCGGGCAGCAAATCTACAAGAACATGTGAGACCAGCACCTGCAAATGAAAACTCACTGATAGTTTGAGACAACACTAGTATGATTTGTATCTTCACAATCCAGTGATTCTTCTTAAAAAATGCACGTTAATACATTATTGTTTCTACTATACAAGTTCTTGTTGCTGTGTCATCATTATGTTTCAGTGACACGTATGTTGTAATGACACCATCTGCTACACTGAATAATAACACATAACACTGAATGTTTGTCTTTGTTTCTCACCAGGATGGACTGCCTGGTGAAGACAGTTAAATCTGAAGGCTACTTTGGCATGTACAGAGGTAATACTTGCCCATACTTGCAATTTTTATAAGTGATTGTTTGCCTTGCCTTTGTCCTTTATCTAGTTCTGCAACATTACCTACATTAGCAGATATATGTAAAGGCAAAGAGATCTATGACATATTTTAATTGCCTGACCTTATTTGAAATTAGTGGAACCAATACAACCAGACTGGGTAATTTAATAAGACGCACAGATGCTGAGTCACACTCAGTGTTGGATCAAAGCTGAGTAAACTGGCCCATTAATGGTTTAGTGCAAGGCAGCGAAAAATGCAGTCAGTTGTGTGTCACAGGAGCTTAGTGGCAACTTTGTTCTGTTGTTAAACATTTCCGTTTTGCTTTGCACTTTCCTACAGTCAGGATAGTTTTTATACTCCTGTTTTCCTGCTCTGGAAAATGTGCCGTTAGACTGATGAGTTAATATGTTTCAGCAAGTCTGCACTTTTGCTTCATTAGGAGTTTGTCACAAGCAGGTTTGTTGTTGCAGGTGCTGCAGTAAACCTAACCCTGGTAACCCCAGAGAAAGCCATCAAACTAGCTGCTAATGATTTCTTTCGCCACACGTTGAGCAAAGATGGGTGAGTAGCACTTAATTAAGAACATATTAACACCCAGTGTCATTCTTATTTATTTATTTATTATCTAATCTACGTGTTTGGGTCCTTAGTGGTAAGTTGACAGTGTTCAAGGAGATGTTGGCGGGATGCTGTGCGGGCATGTGCCAGGTCATTGTCACCACACCCATGGAGATGCTCAAGATCCAGCTGCAGGATGCAGGCAGGATAGGTAAAACCATCTACATCTGCAAATCATTTGCAAAAACTCCCAAACAAAACTGGTGTTTGGGGGGTTTTAGCTCTAAAACAAACACTTAGATTTCCTGTTTCTGCCAGCTGCCCAGCAGAGAGTGATGCCCACTGTTGTAACATCTCTGAAGATGGGCAGGACCAGCGCAGTTCTTAGCCGTTCCTATAACACCATCCCGGGGCCTCAAGCCATGCGAACGTCTGCCATACAGATCACCAGAGAGCTGCTGAGGACCAAGGGTGTTACAGGGCTGTACAGGGGTCTTGGGGCCACGTTGATGAGGTGAGATGTGCAAATGTGTTGCCATATCACATATGCTCAATCAACCAGTTTTACATCTTTCTGTAAAACATGTTTGTTTGTATTTTATCTTTTCAGGGACATCCCGTTCTCTGTTGTGTACTTTCCTCTTTTTGCACATGTGCACCAGCTTGGCCAGCATTCGCCTGACGACCCATCCGTCCCTTTCTATTGGTCCTTTCTGTCTGGCTGCTTGGCTGGATGCATCGCCGCTGTGGCTGTCAGTCCTTGTGATGGTGAGAGACTAATTTGGTGCACGAGGAAGTAAAGTGACATTTTAAAGAAAAACAACATTTTGCATAATTTATAATTTTCTGTCTCATGCAGTTGTCAAAACAAGGCTCCAGTCACTCAGAAAAGGAACTAATGAAGAAACGTACAGCGGCGTGGTGGACTGTATCAGGTAAACATTAAATCATAGCTCTGGATTCTCAGCATCACCAACAAACTTTCTGCTTGGCTCGGCCTCGATGGCATAAATCAGAGACTAATTCTGGGCTTGTCTTGTTCATTGCAGGAAGATCCTGAGAAAAGAGGGTCCTGGAGCGTTCCTCAAGGGAGCTACTTGCCGGGCGCTTGTCATAGCCCCGCTCTTTGGCATTGCACAGGTTGTGTACTTTGTGGGTGTTGGAGAGTTCCTGCTGGGGTACACACCCTACAACATCTGCTCTGCATAAAAAAAGCTGTTTCCAACCTTTGCTGGTTTATTAAATTACAGCAGCTATGCCCTGAGCGTAGCGATGGAGCCAGCTCTTTGTGTACCTTCTTTATTGTTGGAGGTTTCGAGTAAAATGCTAAATGGATCATAGATATGCCATTCATTTTAAAATGGTCTAAACATCTGCCTTTAGCATGAAGATCTCTTTTTTTAAGAGACTGAGGTTGAAGTTGACCCGTCTGTGCTCCAGTCGATCTTTCTTCAGGGGCACCGGACTATTCACTGCTTTCTCAGCTTTACTCCATCACCTGCCTTTCATTGCAACCTAATCTGGTTTCCCATCTAACTGCTCTATCTTGGCAACTATGAGGTGATGGTATTTAATGTTATGAAGAGACATAACTGTGCCAATTAGCATAAAACAATAGTGGTAGAACATTTTTACTTCCTGTTTTAAGAGGATAAATAAAAAAAGGGCATAACCTCGTCCCAGATTCTGTCGTCTAGAGATGATGGTGTAGAAAAGATGAAGAAGAAATGTTTGGTTAAGAGGTCTCCTGTTCCCCATTCTCGCACCACACACACAACTGTGATTGATCTAAAGTGAGTTTGTGTTTTGAGCGCGCACTGTGAATCTCTTCTACACAACTTTGTGTATTTTTTGTTTGTGTTTTTTAACTCTGCAAATAAAGCCCAACGAGGCCACCTGCAGCTGACTTTAGAGAACCACATTTTTGTGGTAAAGACTTTATTGATGGATTCATTTGGCATTTGGGACCAAAGTTGTGGAAGAAAAAAGGTGCTACATGACCTACATGTGGCCGTGTTCTCTTAGTCTGTTGTGTCTGTCTGATTTCTAGCTCACACACACAAATGACATGTTAGGCTTTCAGAGGCAGTAAACAGTATAATGATAGATTGCACTCTCTGCCTGCTCGACCTTTTCATGGGTTAAAGTCATTTAAACTGTTCTGCCAATGTAAATATGCAGGTTTTTTCCAGTTTTCTCAAACTGTGCAAAGTGGAGCTAAATTAGAGCAGTTTTTAATTTGAGCCACGTGGGAAAAGTTTATTTTTCGTGTTCATTTTAGAATCATACGTGTAAATACATAAATGCTGAATAAATGTCTGTAAATGCAGCGTTTATTTCTGTTTGTGTTGAGTGTGTGTGGCTTGAAGTGTTGAACTTTACAGTCTATAATCACTCGCTGGGAAACAGGCAGCACATTAACTTCAGATAATTTAATATTTTGTTTTATGTAGGCCTGAAAGGTGCTGCCCTGCTCCTTCACACATGCACCACAAGCGTGGTTCAGAGTTTGGCAGTAAAAGTGCTCGTGCTGCAGTGCTGAGGTAATTTCACCCGGCCAGTCCTTCAGCCAGCTGGATTACACACATAACTATACCTTTAACTTAATATCCAGCTGTCCTTAAAGATCAAGTGCAGAAATGTGAACCTCTGACATGAAACTCATGCAACTAAATCTGGAAACCTATTTAATCACTGGAGAGTTCACTGGCTTTCCTGGGGATCACCAATGCTTCAGTGCTACATTTAGAAACTACTAAATGATTTGCATTTTATTTTGCTGCTGTCAGCACTTCTCATGATGTGAGGTAAAATATTTACATTTAGAGCGCATCCAGGAAAAGGCTGCAGATGGATTTCCTTAATGGAAATTGCTAGAAGTGTGCCGCGAGTGTGTCACTGACATCCTGCGTGAACGTGTGGACCAATCCCAAGATATTAAACAACAATCACACACTTTAAATCTATCTGGCAACAATTAAAGTGTGTGTGCAAAAAGAAGCTTCAATGCTTTTAGAGTTTATATATAAACTTGTATCTGCTTTAATCATCCACGTACAATTGTAAATCTACCACTGAACACTTTTTCAAAAGGCCAATAAAGACCAGCTCCCTGTGTGGACTCGTGCAAATGTCTGTGATGCAATAATGGAAGGACACGTGAAGCTGTACAAAACCTTCAAAAAGCTTTATTAAACTTCAAACACCTATTTTCCTGAGAGGCCTGGAATGGTATCAAAATAAATTAACACACAATCGTCTATTAAAGGCTTGACTGTGTACAGAGTTTTTGTTTTGAGGTGCACAGTGTGTTACATCTCCAGATTTGCTCTAACAAATAGAAATGAGGAAGACAGCAACAGATTGGTGGCTTTGGTGGCAGGAAGCTGCCTCTGAAGTGACAGTCTGGTGATAGTCCTGTGCTACTTCAGTCTGCAGAGTAAACACTGCCTACTGGCAGCCTGAAGTGGTTATCAAGTCTCATCGCTTGTGCCATGTTACAATGCAATGGAAAAACAACAAAAACAAAGAATAGTAATATCGACCAGCACTTATGTCTGACGCAGCGTGATCGTTGGAACTTAATCAGCATTAAAATGATTGTTTTGAGTCCTCGTTACAGAATTCCTTGGTACCAAAAGCCTTTTGAAATATTTGGCAGGAAAGTCGTTGCTCGCACCACGTCAGCTTCCTTGGCTGAGCTCGAGTTGAACGCAACACTGTGAAACACGCCATAAAATGGCGAGTCGAGCCCCGTCTGCTACTCGTCGAATACATTTGACAGCTAACTGCAGTCCAAGTCTACAAACGTGCTGCTGCTACATTTATTCCCTACGCTCAGCTCACGACTGGCAGAAAGGCACATCAATAAGACGCTGTTCGAGCTGCGTGGATTTGACCTTTACAAACAATCCCGTCACTATTACACTGCACAGCTACTGCCAACATCTGTCTAAACACAGCATGTTAAATAGTAACTATCACATTTAGCACAAATAATGTACAACAGAAAAAGAAACATATTTACATCCTACTGTCCTGCCTGCTGGAAAAACAATGGCCTGATTTAACCTGGAGGTGGAAACAGGTGGAGTCGTCCATCCTTCCCTCCTACACGCTGAGGTTAATGAACTGAGTCAAATATAGAGACTATTCTGCTGCTTCTTTTTGAGGGTGGTGTAATTTTAAGGCACCGAGAGAAAACTGAGGAGACATCAGAGGCCTGGCTTAGATGAGCACATTTAACCACCACCTGTCTCAGCTGACTGGATGGTCCATGTTTAGCCTGTAAACACGACCGCTGGATCTGGGTCTTCTATACAGAGTCTGATGGGACGCTTTATTACATAACAGATTATTTTCATTGGACCACACAAGATGCTTTTAAATGAAGTTCATATATATTCTTTTGGATTTGCAAAAGCACATTTGTGTAACTCTTAGGGTGGCCTGCATGCTCATTTCTGCTCAATAGAGGAATTTGGAGGAGATTGTTAAACTCATCAGCACACAACAGCTTGGGAGTGTAGTGCTTAAATTAGACAACACATGCTCGTATATGTACATTATGATGCAAAGTAACCTAGTTCTGCAAAGATATGAGAGTTCTGAGAAATACACTCACTTTCTGTCCGAGAGCCACACGACAGGATGAATGCTGCTTTCATATTTGTTAAACAGGAAGTTACATCCACAACTTAAGTGTTTGAGAGTAAATACTGAACACATGGAAAAAACTGAATCCTTCCAAAGGAAACAAAAAAAGTGTGAACACATTTTTCATGTTTCCTTCTTCTACGAGACGACATGTTGACTGTCTTAAGTTAAGCTAACTGGCCACTGGCTATAATGTATGTTTATTGGGCCTCAATCTGTTCACTTAACTCTAAAAATAAATCAAATATTTGGATTTCCCTAAATATTAACTTTCTTTAATAAGATCATTGGATTTTGGTCACTTAGTGTAGCCTGTGTGGTTTGAGTGGTTCACAGAGTGTCCGCTCACACTGTGATGGGGCATCCCAATGGACGCCTGCCGGATCAAAATACAGCGTGCATGAGTAACACTCCACACCGATTCAACCAATCAAAACGGTCTCTGAGATGCAGAAATCTTTTTTAAGATCGTGGGCTCACATAGCACAACATAGCTGTATTTGCGTGTCTGTGTGTGTGTGTGTGTGCGCACAGATAAGCAAACTCAGCAGCTTTTACCTCAGATTGCTTTCTCAGGCTCAGGTTTCCCACAGCCCAGGGTCAGTGTGAAGGCTGTGTGAAAAAGCTTCGACACTGCTGTGATAGTACGTGGGTTCAAAATCTGCGGTGGTCCAAAATGGCCATTAGGAAAAGCTATTTGACAGGTTGTCTGCTCCGCAATAGAATTTGTACTGTTCCCGCTTGATATGTGAAAGTCTTCCCAGAGTGCTGTGAAAGGTCGACGGTGGTGCTTTGGACTGGAAATAAATAAGCGACAGAACAAACCAAAAGATCATTGCACGAGGGAGGGGATGAGCGCTGTAGTGGGAAGGAATTTTTTAAGCATGTTCTACTTCCTGGCTCCCCAGGTGGTCGACAGACAGGAGAGGACATTTAATACGAATTGCTGTACAGTCTTTACGGGATACAGAAGCAGGTCAGAGCAGAGGCCGAGGATCCGTCTTAGATGACCTCCCTGCTGTTGCGAATGGCACAGCAGAGCACCATGCTGAAAATCATCCCAATGATCTGTAGAGCAGCAAACAAAAACCATCTTATTATCATCACGTACGTATGTGTCCTGACTTTTCTCTTCTCCCTGCTCACCATGACACCAGCGATTCCTATGCCCACGTATCCGACGATGAAGAGTTTACTGTTGAAGAAGTCTTTGATGCCCGTCTCGCAGTCCTGCAGAGGAGATGTTTCGTAAAACACCAGACTCATTCATTTGATATCAACCAATTTAATTTCTGCTGATTGTATCGAGCTGCGCGAGGTCTTACCCTGGTGTCTTTTTCAGCATCGGGGCATCGGTTTTCTATAGTTCCACAACAGCTCAGCTTAAAATGGGAGAAAAATATGAGAAGACGAGGGATGTTATAGGGAGCATTAAAAAAAAGCAATGATTCCTTATATATGTAGTTGATTATAATTGTTTTTTTCTATATGTACCACTTTCTGGTAAGAGAGGACCAAAGTGCCGTTGCTGTTTTCATTGTAGGTTTTTGCGTAGAAGTTCTGGACATCTTCAATTATCTGTGTAAGACAAGAAAAGTGAATCTGGACTGTTCGTACTGCTTGCAGTTTTCAAAAACAGTGAAAACATGAATGAACCTTGTCTTTGG